GGCTCAACTGACCCTTCGTTGTCTAGGGAATTTGAGAATATGATGAAAAACAGTTCGAAATGAGCATGATGGGTAAGATAAATAATTTTTTGGGATTAAATATTCGCCAAAGCAGGGAAGGTATTTTCATAAATCAAGAGAAGTACCCTCGTAACTTACTTGAGAAATTTGGCATGAAGAATAGTTCAAAATTGAAAGTACCGATGGCAGTCAGCACGCGGTTAGGTCCTTCGTTGTATAAGCCTGTTGTGGATCTCACTTTGTACAGAAGCATGATAGGTTCTCTATTGTACTTAACTGCTAGTATACCTGATATTATGTTTGATGTTTTCAATTGTGATAGGCATCAATCGAATCCCAGAGAACCCCATCTAACAGCGGTGAAGAATATATTTCGATATCTCAAAGGAATTGTTTCATTGGGATTATGGTACCCTTCGAAGACTGGATTTTTCATTAAAGAATTTTCTGATGCAGACCTTGGTGGGTGTCAACTTGACAGAAAATGCACAATTGGTGGATGTCAACTTTTGGACGGGAAGCTTGTTAGCTGGCAATCGAAGAAACAAACATGTGTTTCGATTTCCACAGCAGAAGCAGAGTATGTTGCTGTTGCAGCTTGCACTTCTCAAGTCATATGGATTCAAAGCCAACTTCATGATTATGCAATCAATATGAAGAAGATTCCTTTATATTATGATTCACAAAGTTCCATACGCATCTGCCATAATCCGGTCGAACATTCAAAGACAAAACACATAACCCTTTGCTATCATTTTATCAAGCATCATGTCGAAGATGGTAATATCGAGGTTTATTTTTTCAAAATGACGGATCAACTTGTAGATATATTCACAAAACCTTTAGATGAGAAATCATTTTTAAGAATCTTAAATGGTTTAGGAATGATATATACAAGCTCAGTTCCTAGTTTGTCCTTGTGAGGAAAAAGATGTCAAAATACTACTGAAGTGTTCATAGGTTACTATTCACGGTTCAACGTTCGACTAACTTCGCTTTCGAAATTCCTTTGAATGGTTTAGATCACACTTCACTTTTCTGGGAAGAAATTTTGTTCGATGTACACTGTCTCTGGAAGTTGCTACTTCTTATATCGAAAGTATTTGGTAATACTTTATTGCTTTATTTTTTAATTTCAATATTATAAAACAAAAATTGCAAAAAGATTTTCTTATTTTGTCTTTAGTTTTCAAAAACAAAAAATTCCAAAAAGATTTTCTTATTTTTGTCTTTAATTTTCAAAAACAAAAATTCCAAAAAGATTTTCTTAATTTTGTCTTTAATTTTCAAAAATAAAATTCAAAAATATTTTCTTTATTTTGTTTTGTGTGTTTAACCTCTCTGTGACTCATTGTATCAACATACTGTGGTGGCGAATTCTCAATGGAATACATTCAAAAGAGGGACATGTATGATATCGAACTATTACACTAGTTAGGTGTCCCTAGAAGCATGCTGTTGTATGTTGACCTTAACCCTCAAAGACTCTATGTGTTCGAAGCCTTAATGGATCTCTTACTACGAGTGTTCCTTCCCAAATAGGTTATATTCACATTAGTCGAAGAGTTAACTTTCTCTTCTCATTTTTAGTAAAGAGATTTCTGCTATGTCCATATCTTTCGCAGAGGTACAATGCGTTCTCTTAACCAATCTTTTTCACCAAAATTTTTCTTCATGATCACACACATCACTGCATATCCCCGACATCTCCGGTAGAAACCAACCAAAATGTAGAAATTGCACCAGTCTGTGTTTATGATCCTGATTTATTTTTCCGTGATGATGGTGAAACCCAACAATCTCAACTTCTAAGGAATTGATAGTGAACATCTTGTTCAAAATTATAACGAAACATTTTTTTTTTCTGTACCATCTTTCGATATTCAAAATCATATTTCTTTCGTTATGCGTGATCTTGACAAAATGTTCTTTAACCAATATATTTTTTGCCCAACAGAATCCATGTAACATACACGTTCAGTTATCATGTTATGTATATTTAAAAGTGAAAAATATAATGAAATATTATATGAATTAGAGCGTTGAGTTCTAAGAGATAGTTTTTACTAGAGTTAAAGTAAAACTATGTTTAGAATCACTCAGAAGGTATTGAAAGTCTTATGAGATTCCAATCTAATATTGAAATTTAACGAAAATATAAAATTTGAAATAAGTAAAATTTTATTATTGAAAGTTGTATATAATCCCGTTAGAAACATTTAGGCTAAAACCTCATCGAAATCCGAGTTATAACGAAGAAGTTATGACCAATCGAAGTTTCGCGACAGAACGGACACGACGCCGTATAGCGTAAAAAGTGAGTTTTCGATAAACTAATTTTTAGCCTTAGTAATGTAAATGAAAGTCGTAGTATTCGTTAAACCAAGAACTTTCATAAAAAGAACGTCTAAATCTGACTTCCTATGAGGAAGTTATGATTTTTCTAAGTTTCGGAATAGCAGTAGACAGCTAAAAACTCGAAATAAAGATCGAGTGATTTTTATCCGACACAACCTAAACGAGAATCGAAGATATCGTCGATTGTAGTTCAACGGTAAAAAGACAGAAGAAAACGGACGTCAGATGAAGAAGTTATGAATTTTTAACGGACTTTTCCTGTCCCGGCCCGTTAAAAATATAATATTAAAAATGAAGTCCAAATTAGCCGACAGAGTCTAAATGAAAATTGTAGAGCATAATCTTACCTACACGTGGATATAAAGAGCGTCAAAAATGGAGCTCGTACGCAAAATATATGAATTTTCGAAGTTTTTAATAAAAATAAATGAAAATTCGAAGACTTATCCGAAGGGTACGCCCATCGTACTTAGTTTCGTACGCCCAACGTACTTCGCACTTGCAGGGCCTCGGATCAGCCACGTTGCCGGTCTTCGCTCGGATGCCACGTATCTCGTACATTAAACACGTTCGAAGACACTAAGCCTTTACGCCCCGCGTACGAGGGGTACGCTCAACGTACAGAGCCGCCTCGCAGTACGCCGAGCGTAGTCAGCAGCTTCGCACCCTATAAATAGAGACCGAGGGTCTCTGGATTTATGTTACATTTTTTGATCTCTTTCACCCTCTTTCACATTTTTAGCCCACTTTTAACCCTCCGAAGTCCCGGTATCATTCCCGACACCCGAAGCAAGCCCCGACGCTCCAAAGTTCCCGAGAAAATTATATTTTCAAGCCGAAACTTTTCCCGTGTAAGGTCGGGTTTCAACTAAAATTCCCGGTTTCGTCACAGAAAGTCATATTTAGAGCTGTAGTGCTGCCCAAATTATCATTTAATCCTCGGTTATTTCAAGGTGAGTTTAATATATAGGAACAATTGTATGTTATGTGTTATATGTGCTATATGCTTTCCTGAGTTATTTTGGTTTTATACTGTTGATCATGTAGAGCATGTCTCGTATCACTTCTGGTATTGGCTTTGAGCCTCTGGCCATGTAGAGCATGTCTCGTATTATTCTGGTATAGGATTTATGCCTTTGGCCATGTAGAGCATGTCTCGTATCACTTCTGGTATTGGCTTTGTGCCTTTGTCCATGTAGAGCATGAATCGTATAACTTCTGGTATTGGCATAGGGCTATGTAGGGATGAAAGCCTGTATATTCTAGCAAAATGATAATCATAAATTGTATATTTCCTGTGCCATTTGGGACGAAGTGTTATTGATGTATATCAAGTATAGAAATTGTTATGTCTCGTTGATTGTATATCTTTGAATCAAATCATCAATTGATATGGAAAGTTTGTCTCATGATTCACATATTCCTTTGTTGTTCCTTGTTCCTCTTTGCTTCTGCCATATTGAAGTATATATATGGCATAACGTTATATTGTATCTATTATTGAACCCACTAAGCGTCACTGCTTACCCCTCTCAGTGTTTAACAATTGCAGGTAATGAGAATCCAGTATAGTATTATACTGTTGGAAGATTTAGAATAGTTTATACTATTACTTTTGTGCTTGGGTTTACGTTTGTATAAAACTTTAATATCCTGGGTAGTTATGTAATATACTAAAACTTAGTCGGTTTGTATCCAATATTTTGTAATCACACTATCAATGTAAAATATTATTTATAAATATGCATGTAGCATGTTTTGGAGTAACAATATTGTGAAGTTTGAAAGTTTGGGTCTTTCAATCATATGAAAGTGTGGGTCTTTCAATCCAGATCTTATTTTTTTTTTTGGAATATGATTTCCGTGTGAATATCTTTTCGAACTCCAGTCATTTCGATATGTTATCCATCCTCACACTTGTTCTTGACTACACTGGTCATACAAGTAATTTTGTTCAATCAATTCACACTTATGTTAAGCTGTAGTATTGAACAAAATTGTGCCTACCACACAAGCAGTTCGTCATCTCTCTTGATATCGAATGAAGAGATCTTTGCCCGAGATCCAACTGCTTTCACATCAAATATTATTTGATGTCACTATATGCACATTTTATTAATTTGATTCCCCCTGATTCTTTGGCACACATTTGCACTGGAATCCTCGAGGTTTTGGTTACTACCAATTTGAAACCTAGATTTCACAAAGTATGGCATATGATTTCTCTTTACAATCCCAAAAGTGAATGAGCCTAACGTCATAGCGAAGTCCTGGTGTTCTCTTGATGAAGAAACTTTATGGTGACAATTTGAAACATGTGACAGTTCTTATCTCATTGGGATCAACGAAACTTTTGGCGGAGGTGACTGTTCAGTCTTTCACGGGTTTTTAGGAAATTATGATGATCGCTTTTTCTGACGTGTCGACTTTTATGGTAACCGACCCCATAAAAAAGGCAACACGTGGCATAATCTTATTGGCCAGTGGTTCAAATTCAAATTATATGTCGATTATAAAAGGAAATTGGTGGTGTAAATTGAAGACTTTATGCTCTCTGGTCAAATTGTCCCCAAAACTCTTTCAAGATAATCGTCTTAACACAATTCTCGCAAACCCTAACCATGGTGGCTCTTACTGGTAATGCTGATCCTTCCAACACAACCAATGATGAAGAAACTTCTCAGGCATTACTCAAGATTCAAAGCTCCAATCTTCGTTTACAACCAAATGTCACACAATATCTTGAACAGTTGCAAATGTTGATGTCGTCTTCATTCTCTGTTCCTAAATCACTTTGTTCTTTCAACTGTGATGTCGTCTTCATTCTCTGTTCCAATGACCTGGTTATCATTGGAAGGCTCAACGGCTGTGTTTAACAAAACGATGAAAGTGGTTACATTACAACACAACTGACGAACGACAAACTGCACAAGCTCACCAAGCGGCAGTTTGCTCAGATCATGAAGCTTACGTATACAGGTCCATTCTACGAAGTAACGAATGAGTAGGTTGTTTATATGTTTAATGAGATGGGTCATCAACCACCTCTCATTGGAATCAATCAATTTCTAAAGTCGACTTTGCGCTATGTGCAGAATTTTTTGTTTGGTATTTTTCTACGATGCTTGACTGGTCGTAGTTCAGGGCTTGATAAGGCGAAGCTGGAGGTGTATGCGATGATTGCAGGTCTTTATTATGACCTAAATTTTGATTATGTCACTTAGCTATGGGAATAATTTGGTACAGGAATTTCTCATACCAATGTCACGAATGATGTATCTTGTGCGAGATAATGGAGTTTGATTTTGAAGGATGTCTATGAGAAAGAGGGGATTTTGGTTCCATCGGAGGATGAAAAGGCATATTTCTCGACATTGCAAACTCCAACACTGGTTACTGAGGACCCTGTTCTCTTTCCGAGTGTGGCTCGAATTCCTGATGCAATGTTAAGAAGCATTGATCCAGAAAATCCGATTTTGGTTCAGTATTTGACATCTGTTAACCCAAATGTTATAGTTGGGGCTCTTTTGCCAAAGGGGGCTGAAGGTACATCAAAGGGTGCTAAAGCTTCTAAAAAATTGAAGAAGACTGAACAACCAAAGTCTGTTCACGAGCATGTTGAGAAGTAAATTACAAAACTATTGAAGAAAGTGTGGTGAAGGAAGTTCCTAAGGAGGTTGTTCCTTCAAAGACAAGCATTCTCAAAAGAACAAAGAAGCCTGCTCATAGACCTCGTCATTCTCCTGAAAGGCCACTTGATCACGAAAGTTCTAAGCATGTGTCTTCCACGAAGGGGATAAAGAAGGTACCAAAACCTCAACTTAAAAGAAGAGGTGTGCTCATTCATGAAGTTCCTACTCCAGTGTCCCATGCTTCCAAGAAAAGACAAGCTCTTGAAATGGTCAAGAAGATCACGAAGAAGAAGAAACAAAAAGTAGATCCACTTGATGACGTTATTGTTGAAACTGCTACTGAAAGTGAAAGCGAAAGGTTAGACATTCGTTATGATGATACTGGTTTTAATTCAATTTAAAGGGATTCTCCAGTCAAGTCGAATTTCAAGGAGACTGAAAATCCTGGTGGCAATGTGCACGTATCTAATACGGATACAAACACCAATTTGAGTGATCCTCCACATATTTCCATCCCTGAGAAGCCAACTGTCACACCACCCGAGGTTTCGTTAACTGAGTCCACTATGGAGGAGGTTCGAACCCCAGGCATAACTGTGAACATATCTGATATGGACACAAATGTCATCATGGGTGAAGGGTGATGGGTTATGAGCGTATCACACAATCCTATGTGTGCATTCAACCCTAATTGTTGGATCTATGTTTTCTCTATTAGACATACAAGCATTGGACACACAAACTAGAAACCCTAGGAGGCATGTACAATTTTCGAAATTAACATAAAACTAGGGTTAAGATACATACCTTTATTGTTATGTAGTAATAACAATGGTTTCCTTGTAGATCTTGAACTCTTGAGAGCAAGTGTCACAAGTGTAACACCTCTAATGGCTCACAAACACACCAAACAAGAGGATAAGAGGAGAGAGGAGGAGGAGGCTCTAGAAATCGGCTCTTCTTAGGGTTTGAAGCATATGGCCGAAATATCAAGGGGTTTGGGGCTCTTCATATAGTTGTTGGTTGCTTAGAGCCAAAGCTAGGGTTTGCTGGAGGAAACCCTAATTTCCAGCTTAAGGCCTAAGCAGCCCATTGACTCCCCTTCTCAAGGCCTTAGACGAAAACCTATAGGGCATCCCTATAGTTTTCTTCCAACCCTCTTTAAGGTGGTCCAAGAGCCCAAACCACAACTATTAATTAATTGCAAAACAGACCCTATACTTTTAATTAATTCCTTTAATCCCAAAATTAATTCCAAATTAATTTCTGATTAAATATTAATTAAATAACATGATTTCTAATTAATATATTATTTCCATAATATATTAATAAATCATTTTATATACTAATTTATTATTCCAAATAATAAATTCAACCTCTCTCTCCAAAAGTCATCCTGTCAAGTTGCTAGTATGAAGGCAACCCAAAAGGACCGTGCTACCATCAATTCAAGTACATACCAATTATAGTTATGGGCTTAGACACCTAATCCAACAAAGGGATGATGCACATCGAAGCCAATAGTACTTCTTCTATTTTAACTTCTACTGTTCCCACAACATTTATTATCTCTTTTACCATCAAAACCACATTCATTGATACCTCAACTTCGTTACCACCATTCTCTTCTCTAGTACCATCTTCACTTCCTGCTTGTACTATTTCACCAACATTCTCCAACATCATGCATGAACCAATCATAACTCTTTTCTCTTTGTAATCCACAGAAGGAGAAAGGGTAGTTTAAGAAGAAGAACTTGATGATGATGATGATGTCATGGTTTCTTTTGCAGAGATACAGTTCGATCCTGAAGAAGAAAATATTTGTGATAATATGATCATGTCAGGAAAACAGTTTAAGATTCTCAACCACAAGCTTAATTCTTTGTTACAAATTCAAGCTGATATAGGAGGACGAAAATCTGTTTCTGGGGTTGAAGTGGACATTATGCTCAAGTCTCAGGAGAACCGCCTTAAGCTTGCAATGAAGCAAATTGAGCAACAACATGATGAACGTTTAAAGCATCATGCTTGAAATTTTGAATATGAGGTTACAAAACTTCGTGATGATGCAAAAGAACATCATGAAATTTTTGTTAAGCAGGTCAAGAAGCTGGAGGAATCTGTAAATCTCAAAGTGGTAGAGCTTAAGTCTGAAATGACGAAATAAGTGGAGAAGATAGAGAAGAATTACTCAATTCTTCATGGCAAAGTTGATGTCATTGCTGATGCCGTAACAAATCTTGTGGAATATAACACCTTGTATTCAACCAAGCTTGACGCGAAAACAGAACAGGTTCAAAAGTTTTTGAAAAAATGGAGGAGTTTTTTAGCAGCTTAAAAGAATCTCTTTCGAAGGTTGATCTTTCCCAACAATCTTCTGTTTCACAAGAATCTATTTCCAAGATGATCTCTTCTATCGAATCGAACATCAAGGCAGAACTTGATCCCATCCTTAAGTTGGTGCTTCTCTTACCAACTAATGCTCCAATTGCGTAGCATGTGGTGCAAGGGGGAGAAAAAGGATGTGGTGTTGGCCTTTCGAAAGGTGTTGATAAGGGTGTTGTTGTAGGGAAGGTGGTATCTACTCAAATTTCTACATCACTTCCAGTTTCGCTAACAACCACTTCTACAACTACAACATTGAGACTAATAAAGAAAGGGATTATTATGAGAAAGTGCTGGAGGCTCAAGTTCAAGTTCGAAACCACCTCCTTCAAAAGTTGATAAAGGAGACAAAGGGAAAGGCATTAAGATTACCACTATAGAAGAAGAAAAGAAGAAGAATTTGGAGATGGAAATTGAAAGGCAACAACAGATTAACAGCATTATGAGGCAACGAAAAAGTGATCCACCAGGTTTAAACAAGGGTGATCCCAATAAACATTGGTGATATGAAACAATTGAACAAGTCGTTTCGTCGGGGAAGAAGCATGATTTTGGAAAAATTCCAAAGAAGAGTTATGAAATTGAAAACTCTGACTTTAATCACCTGGATTTTCCGATCAATCATATGATGTTTGTTTCTGCACAGTACAAATTGGGTGACCAGTTCAATGATCAAAAAGAGTATAAGAGACTAAAAATGAGATTTCATGCAGTCTTGGGGAAGAAATAAGAGGAAGTATGGTCTTCAGTAAAGCTTGTCAAAGTGATGAATATTTGAAGAGAGAGTTTGTTCGAAGGTTTACTGCAGAATTTTCGCTATTTTGTTGTCAGGGAGAATAATGTAGTATGTGACTTCTCGATTGCATACTTTCCTCTGATGAACTTGAATGACCTGATCAATGTGACAAAGATTCTAAGCATTGTTGATGTTTCGAAGCTTCAAGAAAACAACAAGGATGATTTCCTTATAGGGTTTGCTCATATCAAAGTATTCATAGATAACTACTATGATTTCTTGGCACTTACTGATATTGAGCTAGCGTTGGCTGTTAATAGGACTTCGAAGGTTCCTCAATCAATGCTGAAAGGGAAGATTAATCTCAAAGATTATGTTGACGGGGAGATTGTGCATAAATCCTTGGGAGTAGTTTTTCTTGGAAAGAACAAAAATGGGAAGATGACTAAATTTTTGTTTCAAGTCTGTGACGTGGAGAGGTACACGAACTTTCAATATACAAGTCTTTTGGTTTGTTTCAGCAATTGCAAACAAAATAGTGCAAAAGATAAAGTTGAAGTTCGAAAGATGATTGTTTGGTATATGGAGGTTCGCATGATACTTCATCAAACCTTGAAGATGATGGCATGAGTTCGACACTTCTCACTAAGGAGGAGATTGTAAGGGTCCAAATGTGTAGTGAGGTGTCGAAGTACTTTTTGGTATGTGTAGTGTCGAAGCCGAAGTCAAGCAATTTGCTATGTATGTATTATGTAAGGCAATGTTAGATGTCGAAGCGTAAAGTCTAGTCCTTACATATTTTTGTACTTCTGTATCACCCTATAAATCGGGTTAGTATAGAAGTCGAGAGGAGCTCTTGAGCATTTCGTTCTTTTCTCTCTCTTGTACTTGTATACTAATTCATAAGAAATCAACGAACCAAACATAAGTTATTTACGATTGTGTTTGATACTCTTTCTGCTATTGGTTTTGTTCTTAATACTCGATTCAAACACACTACACAGGATCCACGCCATGGACATCGATTGCCCACAATGTGGAAACTGGGCTTTTCAATTTTTATTTTTATTATGTTTCGTTCGTTTTGAGTTTGTTTTCTTGTTTTATTGCAGTAATTAATGACCAAGGGATCTTTCTCAAAAAATTTTGCCACCTTTTGACGACCCAGAATCTGAATTCCACTAGTAAAAGTGTAACGCCCGTAGATCCGGGCTAGTCAATTTAGAGACAATGAGCATCAAAAATGAGTTTTTGATGGAAGATTATTTAGAACGAATAATCTTAACCAAGTATTAGTATATGTTACAAGGGTTCCGTACATATAAAGAACGCCGAAATCCGAGTTATAACGAAGAAGTTATGGCTCGTCGAAGTTTTTTGGCAAAACCGGCACGGCACCGGGAGACGTAAATAGTGAATTTACGATAGAGGAGTTTTTAGCCTTAGTAATCTAAACAAAAGTTGTAGTATACGTTAAAACGAGAACATACAAAAAAAAGAACGCCCAAATCTGACTTCGTATGAGGAAGTTATGGATTTTCTAAGATTTGGAATAGTAGTGCACGACCCGAAACTCGAATTTTAGTTCGAGCGGTTTTTGGCCTACGTGACCTAAATGAGAGTTGAAGATCTCATTAATAGGAACTCAACGATAAAAAGGCAGACGAAAACGGAGTCTGTATGTAGAGGTTATGAATTTTACGCGGACATTTAACAGTCTAATTTCCTCCTACTGTTAAATTTAAGATCAGCCAGGAATTAGCCAACGGAGTCTAAACGAAATTTGTAGATTATGATCCCACCTACGCGTGGATATAAATAACGTCAAAAACAGATCTCGTATGAGAGAGTTATAATTTTTCTAAGTCGGGAGGGTGTTGTGCGAGTTTGGGTGACGTGGCGCGATCACAGCCGTTGCTTTCTCCCCAAGAAAAGCCATCAGATGATGACACATGGCACTGAATCGGTGAGTCAGTGACCCAACTCGGTGAGTCCAGCTTCCTGGTATCCTATAATAAGAGGTGTCGGGTTCCCTCATTCTTCACACCATTCCAACCTCTTCTCTCTCTCTCTAAACTCTCCCTCTAGCCCCCAAAACCCCCCTAAGCCTAGATAAACCCCCTAGCACCCGAAGGAAGCGCCGAGGCTCCCGAAGCCTCGAGAAAAAGAGTCTTTCGGCTTGGAAACGCTGCTCCAAGCGAAGCCCGGTTTTCGAGAAAAACCCGCTGTAAGTGAGCTACGCCTACGCTATTTTTTAATATAGCTTTTAATTAATTA